ACTCAGGTCATGATCCTGGAGTCCCTGGATCAAGTCCCACATCGGGCTCCCTGCTCAGCAGGGAGTCTGCTTCGCCCTCTGACCCTACCCCCTCTCATGTGTTCTTTCTCTCTCATTCTCTCTCAAATAAATAAAATCTAAACAAAACAAAACAAAACACAGCAATTGCATATTGTCTGATGCTGGCTTTGTAGAACCATTCATGCCAACTGGATACGCTACAGTTGTTCAGAGTGAGAAGATGGGTAAAGAAGGTTGTCACTGTTTTGGCAATGCTCTATTTGGCTAATATAACAAGTCAGGAGACAAGGACATGACCATAAGATGCAGCCAGATGTCAGAAATGTTACATCAGATCTGGTCATCTAACATAATGGGTTGAATTCCGGGAAACTCACAGTCAGAACTAGGTCATCCAAAGACACTGGAATTGCTCCTTATAAAAGGTTTAGTTTCCTCCTTGACACAGCTGTGTTCCCTAGAGGCCTTTGATTCCTCTTTAAGTCTAACTCCCCTCCAGGAAACCTGGACACTTGGGACACAACGGCCTCAAATAAGTCTCAAAACAGCCTCTGTGAGTAGCCACTCATCTGATCTTCTAAAGCAAACAGCAACTACTGAGACAGAGGAGGGGAGGGGAGATAAAAGGAAGGCAGAAGAAAAGACACAGAAAGAAGTATTTCACATTCCAATGGACTTCTTAATGAGCAGATGGGAGGAGGGTTTTCTGAGTTAATTTTACTAGATGGCAAAGCTTCTTCACCCTATGATTTGCTTAAGTCTGACCTAAAGCATTCTGTCAACAGGTTGGGTTAATGGAAATAAGTAATGAACTATTAAACTCACTACCCAGAAATAAGATGCTTATTAACAGCCTTTATAACAAGGTTGAACATACAACAGTAGCATCTTCTTCAACCAGAGCATTATATATGTCAATTATGCACAGAAGTACCCCTGGCCTGGGACCCTTAAACATTTTGATAAAGACGAAAATGAAAAATGCTAATTACCATCTAGTCTATGGCCTCTGTATTATGTCACTGTCCACACTTGAGTAAGCATCTGGTGAAATCATGTGCAGATCGACTAACTTTGACTACCAAAAATTTCCCTGTATCCATGGCTAGATGTCACTCTCATTTAAAGAGAAATTTTGTACGTAGGCTCTTCAAGATCTCCACTACCTCTTAAAGGGCATTGCTAGAAATCAAAAGCACTGAGTGGCTCAGTTGGTTAAGCGTCTGCCTTTGGCTCAGGTCATGATCCCAGGATTCTGGGATCGAGTCCCACATCCAGCTCCTTGCTCAGCAGGGAACCTGCTTCTCTGCCTGCTGCTTGCTCCCCCTACTGGTGCTCTCTCTCCCACAAATAAATAAAAATTAAAAAAAAATCAGGGGCTCCTGGGTGGCTCAGTAGCTGGGCATCTGCCTTCGGCTCGGGTCATGATCCCAGGGTCCTGGGATCGAGCCCCACTTCGGGCTCCCTGCTCCGCGGGAAGCCTGCTTCTCCCTCTCCCACTCCCCCTGCTTGTGTTCTCTCTCCTGCTGCGTCTCTCTCTGTCAGATAAATAAATAAAATCTTTAAAAATAAAAAAATAAAAAGTAAATACAAGGTGAAGGAACTTGGATCTCAAGGGAATGCTCTAATTAGAACCATTTCTTTAATTATTCAGTTTCTAAAATATGATTTCAGAAAATCTTTCCTAAAATCTACATGTAAGAATACTGTGACATAGGGTGCCTGGGTGGCTCAGTCGGTTGAGTGACTGCCTTCGGCTCAGGTCATGATCCTGGAGTCCCAGGATCGAGTCCCGCATTGGGCTCCCCGCTCAGCGGGGAGTCTGCTTCTCCCTCTGACCCTCCTCCCTCTCGTGCTGTCTCTCATTCTCTCTGTCACAAATAAATAAATAAAATATTAAAAAAAAAAAAAAAGAATACTGTGACATAGTCTCAGAAATATCTCAGTACAGCATTCCTACATTTCCCAGAGAACAGTGTCACCTGAGGCTTTTCTTAGGCTGTAGTTTCAAATGGATTTTCACCAAATTGTAATGGAGCTGTAATAGAAGTCAAATCACATTTACCACCCTTCCAGCCACCCCTGAGAGCATATAATGGGACAAATATTCAAAGTTTGGCAGACCTTTATAAAAATGTTCTCTCCCCTTGATTTTAAACTCTAGTGTCATGAACTTGAGACAAGCATGAGGGAGGATTATATAATGCTTTAGAGCATATATTTTTTGAAAGAATTTTGTCTTTTGTAATTGCTTATTCCTCACAACCGACCTTCCATAACAGCACTGTCCAGTACAGTGGCCATCAACTCTGTCACTACTGAACATTTAAAGAGTGGCTGCTCTGACTGGACTTTCATGTTTAACTTTATTTTAATGAAATTTAAGTTGCCACACGTGGCCAGTGGCTACAATATTGGGACAGCGCAGTTCCAGAACTCAAGTGAAAGCAGATATCCATATTAAACAGAGATTAATGAACACAATGGCCAATCCAGAGTGTCAGCAGGTAGAAAGAGAACCACTGACGTCTGATGATTTGCCAGGGGAGGGAAAGGGATACTGGTTTACTATTCATATAACTAGAACTAGGAGAGACCAGCAGAAAGCACTACCTACCCACAACCCCCCACCACCTCTATATTCCTAATAGATGTACATGATATATGTTTCAATATGCCATACAAATAAAAATTAACTTAGCTTGAAAACAGATGCTCCCAATATGTAGAGAAGTTACTAGTTTCTTCCTCAAAGGATATTACTTGAACATACCAGAATATGCTTTACTTAAATTGATCACGAACTTTAAAGAGACATAATGTCAAGATATCTCTTCCCTTCAGTTTTAGGCTTATCATTTTGTGCTTCCATAAAGTAAGACTATGAATGTGAGGGTCCCTATTGGTTCTGTCCTGCTTTACCAATCAATGAAACTCAGTTTTACTTGAGTGTCTAAGAGCCCCATTTCTCTTGCCTAAATATAAACCAACTCTCAAAATGCCCAGGAGAAAGGAGCCCTTGAATGTTATGCTAAATCTTCACCAGTCACTCTACCATGAGCTTACAGAGTTTGAGGTCTACCTCTGCAAAGGCCCTGTTGATAAGAGCTTCCACATCCTCATTTTTGCTCTGATGTCACCATGAATTTTATCAACAAGATTCATGACATTACAAGTTTCAACTTACAGTGTGAGCCACAACTATAAGAACTACCTGATTTAGCTATCGACATTAATAATTTTAAAATCTTTACCAAAACCAGTTTTTCTGAAAACACGGAGAGGAAGTAAAATAGGAAGGGGATTGATGAGAAAAAATAAAAAATCAGACTAGATTCTAAATACATTTTGTAGTGGTTTGTTAAACAGTTACCTTGTTCTACAAGTGCTGTTTATAAGAGTACCATGAAAGTGCTTTTTTTTCTTTCCTTTTTTTCCTGTGGGAGAAGGGAAGCAATGAAGGAAATGAAAGAGTTCATTTAAGTGCCATATTCACATAAGGCTAATTTGTAAAAGCTCAATCCAGCTGAATATATTTACAGCCACCACTGGCCCACAAAACTTCAGTTGAGAAGACTAATTGAGATTCTTCAGGAGAAGTCCCTTGTCTTTAGTAGTTACAGAATGTCTCATTAGGCATTCTGTACCTCCCCCTTCTCTAGAATACTAAGTCTGACTCTGCTTGGCCTGGGTCTGCAGCTTGTGAATTTCCAACAGATTCTAATACACCATTATTGTAAGGCTGTTGATTTTGTTTTGCAGCCCCCTCTGCTTTTTGTTTTTTGTGGGGAGGTTTTGTGTGTGTGTGTGTGTGTGTGGTTTTTTTTGGTTTAAAACTAAAGTTTCATTTAACAGAACTGTATTAGTTATATTGAAATACTGTTTAAAAAACAAACAAAAACAAAACTGTGCCCCACATCCGGGAATGTAATATACAGTTACATTCAGGCTACAGTCCCTATTAAACACCATCTCTAGTCTTGTATTAGAACCGTGCTTCCTATAAAAGAGGATCATTAGAGCTGATGGCTAGAGTTCAGAGAGACTAGCAAACTCCATAAAATCTTATTTTCTACCCATTTTCAATTCTCTATACAGATGCGATCTTTGAGCATTTGACTTTTATTAGGCCAGCAAGAGCATGATGCCCATTTGACTTTTTTTCTTCTTTACTAAAATGACATGTTGTAGACTCCTGTGTTTTTTTTATTTTTTAAAGATTTTATTTATTTGACAGAGAGAGAGAGCAGGAACACAAACAGGGGGAGTGGGAGAGGGAGAAGCAGGCTTCCCGTGGAGCAGGGAGCCCGATGTGGGGCTTGATCCCAGGACCCTGGGATCATGACCTGAGCCACAGGCAGACGCTTAACAACTGAGCCACCCAGGTGCCCCTCCTCTGTGTTTTTTAAATGCCTAAAGATGTTGGAGAAATTAGTGTCATGGGAAACTACGTGTTTACTTTAAATATTTAATTAGAGGGTCTCTCCCACGAGCTGGAAAAGAATCTCTTAGCAAAATTATGGAATAACTCTTTTTCCTCTCCCTGCTATCTTAACATCTAGTATTACAGGTTACAAAGAAGCCTGGCATGAAACTAAAATAGCACAAAGGTCTCCAGGTATCTGCCATTATTACTATTACTGAGTTTTCATCTGTAGGTAAGCAGTGACACACACACACACACACATTTCCATACACATCCATGTGTATGTGTACATAACACATCTGCCTGAGCCCAGTTTGGCTGAATTATGCCATTTGTGCTTTTCCCATAAGAAAAAAAAATTCTGCAGATTTGCCTCTAACTAAAAGGTAACATCATTTTTCCAGAGTAAAGGGTAAAATTCCTTACAGTTGTAAAATTTAAATAAGTATTTTTCTTCTCCAATTAAATGTAATAACACATGTGAATATACTATTTCTTTCAATTTCCAACTACTTTTCTACAATGACATTCTGAAGGAGGGCCTATTAGCAAATGAAATTCCACTGACAATTTATTTCAGCCTTTAATATATTTTCTACTAAAAACCAAGTTGTCAAGACAGGAAAATATTACTGGTTTTGTTATTACAAAAAAAAAAAAAAGTGAGAATTTTTAATTCACAAAAGATGAAAACACAAGACATTGATCTCACTGTACATACAATATTACAATAAACTAATTAGCTGTAGACTAATAAAACATTTAAGACTCCACATACACATGTACTTTGAAACAAGAAACACAGGACAATTTTAATCTTTGTTATGTCCACAGCTACGAAGAGAAAGAGCATCACTGGTTTGAGTCTAATGGTTTTGCTGGCATACAATCACTATATAGGCCAGTTCTAAAGCATACTGTATTGTTCAGGACATTGTTAGACAAATACAAACATTCTCATTTTGGGGCTTTTTATCCTTGCCCAAAACAATCTGCTTTCCATAGCTATCAAGTAGCTTGGTTTGTTACCAATTTAACAAGACCACAACAACAAACAATATTTTTACCACAAAACTCAGGTGAGAGATTTTTGAATTGTACAAAAACTATTTGTTCCCAAGGAAGGCAATCTGTAAATTACAAATGCAATTCTAAGAAAAGGAGTCTTGGTCACAAATCATTCACTTTCAAATATTGATGAAGAAGTGAAAATTGGAGAGGGGAGAGTGGAGGAGGTGTTGGCATGGCAGGGAGTAGAAAAGGTGTGGAAAAAATGAGGAAAATATATTTACCACAGGAAATATTGGATTCAGTTGATTTTTTAAAAATGAGGTATAAGAGCATGCCAGTAAATGCAAAAACAAGAAAAAAATTGAAAACCAAAATGCACATTTCCAATGGAAAATCTCTAAACCTCTTACAGTTTTCTTTATTTGGATTAGACATTTCATATACATCAGTTAATCTAGAAAAATACATCTTAAAATATCTTCAACAGACCATGCTCTCTGTAACAAAACCTTCCAAACCCTGTTTTATTATACAAATCAATCTACATTAGTAATGTAAAAAGAAATTCTCAAATTTAGCAATGTCATTTTCCATCTGACATCCATCTAATTTACATATGGGTTTCCACTATTCATACTGCAGTTAGAATTCTGTAATAAATTTTTTTCTAATGTATTCTGTACATATTAAATTATCTAAAAGATTCCTCTTGTAGTGCATTTACCATTTAGCAAGTCTATTCAGTATTTTTCCAGTACCATTTGCATTACAGTGATTTGCCTGTAAATGTAATTAAAATCTAAAAGTGCACACAGTTAAGTTTCTCAAATAACAGCCCATTTCTGGAGGAAACCTAATATTCACGGAAAAGATTACCAATATCATGATTAGAAATGTCAGGTTAGAATATACTCTGAGACTATACAACAAAATTATATACATAAGCTAAAGGACATTAAGTCTTTAGCTTATATTTACATCAAATAATGTCTGTTTCCACAGGGTCATACCAAGAACTCAGTATGGCACTAGATATAATCAGGATTCTTAGCTACAAATCAGCGTAGCACAGACAGCCCCAAAATACCCTGAACTGACTTATGCTAAACTAAACTCCAGTATATCACAGTGTGTTAAGTAATATTAGCGTGCTGCCCAACAAGCGACTAAGACATCCATCCAATAAGGATGGTGTGCAACACAGGGAAGGCGGCAAGCCTTCGCCGAGGGATTACCTCTGGGTTAGAATGAACTGTAGAACTTAAGACTGCCACTGCATGCAGAAACCCTGAAAAATAAATACACAGGTTTCAAAAAGGATATACTTCATTTTGTTTAGAATGCCCAAGAGCGTCTTCAAAATAACTGATAGTGAGTACTGTTCTATCAAGTGATGAATCTAATGAATCATGAGAAGAAATTCTACATTATCCAGTTTGAGAAAAAAAAATGTAGTTTTCTTACCAAATTATCCAGTGTATACGACTGGTTACAAGTTTTGATTTTTACTGAAATTCAGAGTATGAAATGCAAACATTCAGGATAAAATTAATTCAAAATTACACACAGCTATATCAACTTGCAACAAAGCAGCAAATATGAGGGCCTAACACACATCTTGACTCCCCCATTCCCTTCTGATCCCTCAAAAAAGTGCAAAATCAAAGAGTCACTGCTTGGTCCAAAAATAAAATACATCAGGTATAAGGATTTGAAATCTGATGGAATCCGGCTTCAATAGTCCACAGCCTGTCTTCAATAAGAATCAACGCCCGAAGATGGAATTTATTTCCAGTAGAATTAATTCTACAATCTGATTTTGGTAGACAGTATGAACTGCTATATTACCAGTCTCCTTCTCTGGCTTCAACAGAGTGGGACCAAACACAATTGCTATACTCTGATAGGTCATTCGGTTTTTTTCTCCATTTTCTATAACTCTAAGGGGGGAAAAAAATTGTTAAAAGAGAAAACATACGAGAGGAAAAATTTTTGAAACTGTATTATAAATAGTGTGCATTTAGAAATGAGAAATAGTGCTCATTTTCCTAAAATACATACAAGCTACTTAAAACCAAGTAGGATTCAGTCCAAACATCACATGAAGGTTTCTTTTGGGTAAACACAGCTGAAAGGTATAATTATACATACTCTAACAAACTTTCAATGTGTGATATTTCATCTTAATGTCTAAAGCAAGACACAATTAAGTATGAATTACAATTCAGGTAACAATAATTACTCCACTAGGGTGATGGGGGAAAAAATTTCATTAGGATAGAGAGATTAAATTTTCATTTTACTAATTCTATGTTTTTTTTTAATCTCCTTCATTGGGATAATTTACTTTACTATTCTAGTGTTCTGTCAGAAGGCAAAAATCACTTATTAAAATGGCTATGTAGTAACCTGAAAGCCATGATGGCTTTCTTCTAAGGTAATTTAATAGTCCTCATCTCAAAATCTCATCTTCAGGTTAATTAACTTAAACAACAATTTCTGAACACTTACATGCTAGGCATTATATAAATACTTCGCATATAACATTAAGTAAAAATTTTTCATACCAGAACATTTATCTATGAGGAAAAAGGCCCAAAGGAGTTCTCTTTTTCAAGTTACAAAGACAGCAAGTAGCACAGCTGGGATGTGAACCGATGTCTGAGGGACCCTGGCCTCGTGGGTCCTATACCACACCTCATAACCATGCATTTCTCTTACCTTCCTCTTTTTTTCTCCCTAATTAAATTACTATTTCTTTTCTGTGGTGAACCTCTTACCTTTTGAGATGTCTAAAAAGAATCTGCATTGTATCTTGATTTGGCTTTGGCAACTGTCTGATTAGGTCCTTAACAGCAGCGACTCGCTGTCTTGGTTCTTGTTCTTAAAAAAAAAAAAAAAAAGATAATAATGAGAGATTATGCATGAAATTGAAAACAGTGACATAGTTTCGAACCTCACATTTGGTAATACACAGTGACATCTGGTGGTCACATTTAAAACTTCTAAAGTAAAACAAACCTTTGAAAGAATTTAAAAGAAAGATCAAACAATGTAGTGGCTTAATCGGTACAGAGGACTTTCAACATGTAGAAAAAAAATTAAGTGTAATGACATACTTACTAATTGCATTAACAAAATCATTAAAATGGTTAAATGTAAAAAGAGGTTCTGGTAATTCTCGAAAAAACATTTTGAGTGCTCCAGTAATAACATGAATATCTTCCCATTTACTATCATTCAAATCCAATTTCTCATCTGAAAAAAATAGGAAATTTTTTTAAATAACTTTAAACTGATTCTAATAGATATGAGTGCTTTTTTTGCACATAATAATAAAGAGTATGATCTTACCATGATTGACTGCAAATCTCAGTTTCTGGATCACTGCAAGGTTGCCACTTACTCTGTATATCCCATCAACATCCAAACCTAAGAGAAAATTAAAATATTTTTGTGTTTTAAGCAGGTGCCTCTTCTAAAGATGCTTGCATGTTTCAGAATCCTTATTCATTAACATGAGTCTAAAATCAAATGGGCAAATACTCTTTTCCTCTAACTGGCTTTTTATAGATGCTTGGCAGAGGGGGGGGGTGGAGATACACTCTGAATTCTGTTTAATAAACAGCAACAATTCTAATTTATCATGTAGACTGTGGATCATCTCAAAACAAATCATCTCATTAAACTTGAAATACAAACAATTTAAGATAAACTTCTACTCCTGGGGATAGTTCAGAAAGTAAAGGAAACCAAAAGATAAAACCAGCCCATCCATTGTTTTTGCACATTTCATAATGTAAATGTACATATTTTTTTTTATTTTTTTAAAGATTTTATTTATTTATTTGAGAGAGAGAGAGACAGCGAGAGCAGGAACACAAGCAGGGGGAGTGGGAGAGGGAGAAGCAGGCTTCCCGCCGAGCAGGGAGCCCAATGTGGGACTCGATCCCAGGACCCTGGGATCATGACCTGAGCCAAAGGCAGACGCTTAACGACTGAGCCACCCAGGCGCCCTGTAAATGTACATATTAAAGCACTCTTTTAAAGATGGTTGTCCTTATAAGTGCTTGTAATAAAGTTATCAATTAAAATAAAGGCTCTATAAAAACAATTGATAATTTGATATAGTTTCTTTTTATATGTGGAATAGAACTGTGAAATTCATCCAATTAAGCCTAAAAAATCCAAATATTTATTAAATGATAATGCTATACACATTTAACAAAGCACATTATCTGACGTGCTATTCATAGAACTTCAAATAAAGGCACAGAGTCTCTATTGTCATGTTGACAAAAAAGTCAACGACAAGATCTGAAACTGACAGAAATCACAAATTATGCAAATGTTTTAATTGTACAAGATGTTTTTGATGATGTACAGGTACAAGTTAATGTGATTACCATCATGGTAATTATTTTATATAAAACTAGTATAAATATTGTTAAAATCAACCAAAATATAAATTCGTTTAAGTCTTATTTAACAGGAAATGACATAAGGTTTGTCTACTTAGACATTTTATAGTTGATTTAACAGTTATAAAATGTCATCTCATTTTTATTATAAAGAGAAGCAACTTTCTCTTGTAAGTAAACACAATCTCCTATCTTCTACACTGTCAAATCACTTCTTAATAAACTCAGTTTCATAATCACCACCTTCTTCATTTTAAGCAAAGGCCAACTCCAAATGGCTTCGAAGAATACCATACACTTAATCAGCTAGAAGTGCTGAATATTCAACAGGTGCCTGCAAAGGTCTTAATTTAAAACATGTATGTAACCATTAAAACATGTAAGTTTTGCAAACAAGATGCTTTTCTTAACATCTTATGACTGTTCCATCACTCAAAATCAAAAATCCTAAGGATTCTGATGGCAAAACAATGGGTTAGTGTGCTTAACATAAAAAAAAAAAATCATTTTCTTACCATATGCTTCAACATGTTCAATGCATAACTTCACAAATTTTGGCACTGTGCCATTTTCTCTCTGACAAAGATTAGCAAGATTGGCTCCAAATACCTGATCTGAAAGAGATTTATTTTTTAAAATAAATCACCCTGCTAAAATGTAGTTTGCAAAGTGGCGATCACTATTCACAGTGCTATAGAAGACATTCAGTACATCCCGACATGGTCTGCTGTGACTCATGCCTTCTGTGAGCTGCCTACCCATTCCAATTCCACTTCAAACAATTTTCCTGCTTTACTAAACTTCATGAACACCCCATTTTTACCTGAGAGCCTTTTAGTTTTCTATACCTTTTGTAGAGATCCATCCTCTCCCCCAAACTTAGCTTTTTATCACTCCCACCCTCAGCTATAATGTCATCTCCTTAGAAAAACCTTATGATCAGCCTAAGGTAACCTCGTACAGTCACTATTTCATTACTACAGTAGATTCTTCATGGTAGTCATAATTATCTTGTCTGTCTCTTGTTTTTAGGTAAGTTTCATGAGGGCAGGGATCTTGTAGTTCTCAAACCAATAGGTATTCATGGCACCCAGGCTCATGCCTAGCACTTAGTAAACACCTGAATATTTTTTAAACTATTAAAACAAGCACGGTGCATATCCATCGTGTGCCAACCCTTGATTCCACAAAGTATATTTCAAAGGCTGTTCTATTAGTCTTTCAACCCAACACTTCTGAAATGCCACATTAGTGCTAACTACCGAGGAAAACAAAATATTTGAAGTCCTGAACACCATAAAGCAGCAACAGTTTATATTTCTCAACAAAAAGGCCTGGTGAAAAATTAATAGCAATTGCTATTTACTGATTTGTCAGGCTTTTTTTTTTTAAAGTTCTAAACTTAATATACTAAATTCATATGCGTTATCTGGGAGTCCTTGTTTACCTATAACTCTTAAGGTTGTTAATTTGAATCACTTAATTAGCTGAACTCTACCCAGAAGTTTTAAATATCTTTTTAATGAAACCCATTTGTGTATTTTAACTTAGATGCTTTGCAAACAGAGGTTCTAGTGATGGTCTTTTTTAGAAACTTCAAAGACAGATATATATGTTATACATTACCTTTACCTATGCCTTTATTCACTAATTAAATGTCACTGAGTCCTGTATTAGAAAATTTTATCATTGAAATTAAAAGCGCCTGTAAGAACTAAAGGTATATACAAGTATATGTGATTTTAAAGAATACTCTGTTATTAAGATCCTGTTAGTGCATTATTGTCATTGTTGCTTATAAATGGAATAATATAAAAATTTAGGAAAAAATATCTCATACTAATTTTAAAATCACCTGAAATGAGAACTGAAGGCAAACAAGATAAAATTGTTCAATATTTTCTTCTTTCTACTGTGTTAGTGATGTTTCATTCAAAAGTTCTGATCTGTGCATCTCAAAACTAAAAATCTTTTTTTAAAAGATTCTACTTATTTATTTGAGAGAGAGACATACACAGAGAGAGAGAGAGAGAGAGAGAGCATGAGCAGGGGAAAGACAGGGAGAGAAGCAGACTCCCCGCTGAGGAGAGAGCCCAAATGGGGCTCGATCTCAGGACCCTGGGATCATGACCTGAGCCAAAGGCAGACACTTAGCCGACTGAGGCACCCAGATGCCCCTCAAAACTAAAAATCTTTATTGTCATGTCTTCTATCCATCCATCTCACCCCAGTAGTTCCTCTGGTACAGGGTCTCTAAAAACTTACTTTGGTATTTATGTCTGTTCAATGCCTTAGTTAAATTCTGTGCACTGAAAAATCAATTTTATTTAAAGATTTTTTTTTTTTTAATTTTTTCTTTGACAGAGAGACACAGTGAGAGAGAACACAAGCAGGGAGAGTGGGAGATGGAGAAGCAGGCTTCCCGCAGAGCAGGGAGCCCGATGTGGGGCTCGATCCCAGGACCCTGGGATCATGACCTGAGCCGAAGGCAGATGCTTAACAACTGAGCCACCCAGGCGCCCCGAAAAATCAATTTTAATCACTCAAATGTATTTTAAACCAATGAACCTGCTAACTTTAAAGAATGAAAACATTTTTACTGTTCAAAAAATGTTCAGTTTTTAATTTAAAATGTCTTATTTCTGATTTTGGCCAAAGTTCATTATTATAAACAGCACTTCTACCTACCTTTAATATAACCTTTTTCACGAACAGCTTGCAAAGTGGGGCGCCGTGTAAGAAACTTCTTTAGGTTTTTCTTGGTTTTTTTCTGTTCTGAAGAATCTATGCTAGACACTTTTGTGGCTTAAGACAAACGGATATTAAGCATTTCATAAAATAAAAACTTGATAAAAATTTTTCCACCAGCACTCAAAACATATTAATTTCATATGTAAAAATCAGTTATAAATTCAGTTACTCTAACTTTAATATAGTTTAAGAGTAGTAGGTCAAGAATCAAGCTAACACAGACCCAATTTCAAAGTGATAAACCAAACAAAACATTTCATTTTTATCACTAAACACTGACCACAAACTGCACCTTCTTTGGTATATGTGTTAGACACTGGTTATTCTAACTTATACTCATTATTTCATAAATGATACTACTTATATCTCCTTTGACTCTCCATCAGTTTTAGAAGGTAAAATGATGAGAAAAAAATGTCCATAAAACATAAAAAGGTCCTTATCCTGCAGTATCCTTACTGGACTAGGAGTCTAGAGAATATATATCACAATTACTTGTACTTTAAGCTAACCACACCTCATCATAATTACCTCTAAACTAAGAATGGGACCACTTGAAAAATGTCCTACATTGCCATAACTCTGATTTCTTTTTTGGTTCCAATAAAAAATATCCAAAAAGTAAATTTCTTGAAAAGAACTATATCTGAGGAAATGTGAGAGCAAAAGAATTTATTAGTAAAGCATTAAAATAATCAAATTTTCATGTGTTTACACTGTTATATGTCAGTGACAATGTCAGTTAATAGGCCTAACCTTCATTAGAATGTGGGAGAACAAAAGTAGAAATGATTTTCTAATCATTCAGTTAATCCAAAGGCCAAAATTCTCAGTTGAATGTGGATTGTTAAAATACATTTAACAAGTTCAGAGCCACAGCTAATGGCCTATTTAAACAATGTAACTCACAAGGGGCCTGCATCAGAAAATGCTATTAAATTTGCTGGCTTTAGCATATACATATATATATATATATCTGCACACACATACATACATAGATATGAATGATCTGGAGATATGAATGCATGCAGTTGCACCTGCACAGACATATCCTAGTCCAGAGATGTTTGCCTGGTATCCAGTGTGAACTATGGTACATGTCCCATGACTTTTGACTTCTTAAAGTGTAAAGATTCTATCTAGACCTTATACAGTAATTATGTATTTTTAAATCAATATAGTTCAGCTTCCTGGATACCTCAATAGAAGTGCATTCTAATATACTTTTTTCTCTTAAAGAACCACAACATCTTAAAATTAATAAGATGCTGTATGGGTGCACACGATGAGGCCAAAAAGTAACAAGGAGTTAACAAGGAGAGAGTACTCCTAAAACACCAAGATTGCAAATATCTACCCTTATAATTTCCTGGTAACAATGGAGATTCCACTCAGCCTTTATATATTTAAAATATTCAAAAAATCTAAGAGAAGATGCTCAAATGACTAACAAAATAGGTAAATAACTTACAACGAAGTTTCTTAAGATCCTTATGGTCCTTCTCTTTATCATGCTTTTCTATTCCTGGGGAATCTGGTATCTCTTCTTCAATAGCTTCATCAGTTTCTACTGTCTGTTGATTAAAGAGTTCCCAAACACATATTACTTTTGAGATTATTTTAGATGTAATAGCATAATTCTCAGTATAATCAGTAACTGATCCTCCCAAATGATTTTAGGGAACCAAGAAGTATATATGATTTAGATACTTGGTAAATCTTTAAAAATATTCTTTTTCCCCCTACATAGGGGGAATTCATTAATTCTGAATTTCAAAAAATAAAAAAATGCTGATTATTCACAGGATGATGGCTTTATATACTGATAATGAGGCTATGTTCCCTCATGTAGATCAAATGCATAAGAATGACAGTAACAAGAGTTAAAAGGTCCTGACCCACAAGCTACACTGAGAGTCCACGATGAAGCCACATTCTGTGCTAACAAACAGCACAAGATAAAGCTAACTAGCAAATGGCACATTAATTTTTCACACCAACGATCTTTTCAAATTATACTTTGTATCAATAGCTAGTAATCACACTCACAGATTCATGGATGTTAGGCATTGAAAGAAATCCTAGAACTCGTGTAGAGCCTAACCAAAGTCACTTTTGCAGGTTAAAAAACTGGACTTCTCAAATCTAGAATTATTGCTTTGCCCTTCACACTGATGTCTTTATCCACATAGAACTTATTTTTTGTGATTAGTGTTAGGAAAGGTTCTAATTTCTTCCTGGATATCCAGCTGACCCAGTACCATTGAAAGTTTATTCTTCCTTACTTTTCTACAGTGCTATATCTGGCATAAAGTACCCAAAGGAATGTTGGTTTCTAGGTTCTTTATTCTGCTCCACAGGTCTGTAGATCTATCCTGGTATGGACAGCATGTTGTATTAATTAATACAGTTCTAGAAGTCTTAACATCTGATAGAGCAAGTCCTTCCACTTTCTTCTTCAAGAGTGTCTTGGATATTTTTACCCTTTATATTCTGGTATGAATTTTAGAAGAAGCTTGCCAAGTTCCAGCAGAAAACCTACTAGGATTTTGAATGAGATTCAAAAATTTCAAGTCTATAAATTTATAAATCATTTGGAAGAATATTTTATCTTTACATTATTGAATCTTTTAATCCATGATATACTTCCTCATATAATTAGATTTTCTTCAATGTTTCTCAATAAGGTTTTGCAATTTTCCCTGTTTCGTGCATCTTTCTACATTTATTGTGCATATTTCTACAGTATCTTTTGCCACTTTATAAACAGTATATATTTTAAATTTCATAGTCAACAATATGTTACTCTCTTTTCACTTGGCTTATTCCCTGATCCTATAGGCTTCAATTAAAAAAAAAAAAAAAAAACACTTTCTCTGCAAGGCCTTCATGGATCCCTAACACTAGGTTAACTCCTACCTAATCAGTGTTTTTATAAGTTGTATATCCCTCACCATCATAAGCCTCATCACATTTCACTGTATTAACTGCTCAGTTGTCTGTCTTCAGTAATCTTCTGTCTTTGGCTGTAAACTCCGCAGGGAAAGGTGTAGCAAAGGAATTGCATGCTGCTCTATCTCCAGGGCAAAGCACTCCCACATCTGTTAAATGAATGCAGCTATACTTGCTTTCAAGGGACTGGGAACCGATTACAGTGACTAGAGCTGAAAGCCCATATTGGGTAGAGTAGAAGGTACATTTGAAAAGATAGATTGGGCTCAGGTTGTTGAATTTTAATGAGAGTCACAGAAGCTTTACTGAGCAGGAGAGAATTATAAAGTTAACATTAGGAAGTTTCATATAGCAATGCTATTAAGAACGGATTGGTGGGGGGTGAAATGAAGTAAGAAAACTGTTTAGGAATTGACTCTTATCTAACATATAAAGTCCTGATGATGGTTTCAGGAATAAATGGAAAGGAAGAGACAAGATTCAGAAATATACAATATTACAAACTGCAAAGGAAGAATATTTATATAGATGGGTGAATAACTCGCTAGAAGAGGTAAAAGAGGAGGAAGAGTTAATACTCAAGATTCCAAATCTGGCTGTTTTGAACTGAATGCATCATAAAAATTTTGGAGTTTAAAGGGACACTTGGGACAAATGAAATCCAACCTCTCTATTTTATAAGTGAAAACACGAAACCCATAGAGGTAGAATACCTCACTCAGTACGATCACAAACCTTATTATAATGAGGCTTCACCTATAGTCTCTGAAAGACCTCTCAATCTCTACTAAAGCCTGTGATTCCCAACTTTTTTTCAATCTCTGTTTAGTTTAAAACCGTAACACACTCCCGTAAGTATTCACTTTCCTTTTTGTCACTGACATATGATCCTTAGTCAGGAGCCATGTCCCCATATAGTGAGGGCGTAAGAATATAGTCTGGAAAAGTACGGCCCCTATCTGTTTCTTCCTGCTCTTACTAACAGCAGGAGAATATAAATTTGAGGTTCTTTTTGGTTGTTATACATATACTACATATATTATATAACGTATCATATGTCTACTATATATATATATATATAAAATACATACACATATAAGAGGAAGTTTACCAGAAACATGAACTGAACACCTCCCTGGTTGGGGGACGGGGGAGAACTAGAACACCTCCAGGGGTAGCTAGAGAGGTGTCATGAGGAAAGAAAAAGTGCTCATGAAAAGACTAGTGCTTCATTCATTTCATACCTTTACCTAAGACCTGTCTCCACCAAATAGTACTGTTCCCAACTCATTGGTCATTGACTAAATACTCTGTACTAGGAATGGTTTGTCCCTCTTCTTGAATTACTTCTTTTTGGACCAGTGCCTCATGTGAAAATTATTTAAAATCCACTACTAGCAAGTATTATGTAACTGAGAATATTAAATCATTCACCAGCCCCAAGGAATGGCTAAACTACCATTGCCTTTCCTACCTCTTGTCAAAATACATATTAAAAAAGTGTTTATTACATATAAACTGGAAACTAGATATGCAATAACCGATTAAAATGCAGAAAAGAAAAACAGCTCTGAAGTAAAAAAAATTTACCTAAGTCAAATACATACCTGATTATTGATAGTACTACTAAGAACTTTAAACCAATCATTAATAACAGTGTCATTATCAGACTGAATTAGCAGTTCTGTTCCTTGACGGGTTTTCAGCTTTAGAGAAAAGGAGAAAACAAAAAAGAGGATGGTTAGTACTTTCAACCAAATAAATAAACAATATATATTTTTAAGATTTTATTGTTATTTTTAAGTAATCTCTACACCCAATGTGGGGTGTGAACTCACAATCTTGAGATCAAGAGTCGCATGCTCCACTGACTGAGCCAGCCAGGAGCCCCCAAATAAATGAATATATTCAAGCCGAAGTCCACAGAACCACCAGCCAGAAGAGTAGATGCCATAATATTATACTGAGTGATGAAAGGTTAAAGTAATGCACAGTAATGGAGTATCTTTTAATATAAAATAATCCCAGAGGAATTATTGTATATAACATGAAGTTTTCCTCATAAAAAATTCTCAATGAAAATCTAGTAACTTAAGGGTCCCAAATTCCAACACACAAATGCCATAAAACTTGCTGAAATCTAGTATACCGTATCATTAAAAAATAAGTTCAAGTATCAAAGCTGTGCATTTTTAATTAGAATTGAAACAAAATTCATTTGTAAAGAAATAAAATCTGTGATAGTTTTATGTAAATCTGAGGAATGTTTTTCTCCAGTTAAAAAATAAATGTAGAAAAAAATATATGAAAGAGTTAAAACTTTTATTATTTCCTATTTAATAGGTAAATAAATATAATGGCTTAATGCAAAGAGAAGGCACAGACAATAAATGTTACATCACTTTTGGGCAGAAACAGTACTAAATTATGTCAAAGCATGAACTAACAAGTAAGGATCTCTTTGGTTCAAAGTTTCTTACACCGGATTGACAAAAAATTTGGAGGTATTAGGAGAAAGCATTCCTCCTATTTTCTGGTTGGTAACTGTTTATTTTTTTTTCCTTGAGGAACATATGGCAATGTTTCCCAAACAACATTCTGAGACATATGCCTCAAACAGTTCCCGAAGTAATGTTTAGAAAAGGTATTCCTCAAAAAAAAAAAAAAAAAAAAGGAAAAAACAGTTATATGGTATTAATTTGGGAAATACTGCATTAAAGAAAGTTAAACAAGATTCTCTCCTTCAAAACGTCTCAGGGCTTTGATATTCCAGGGTGCTCTGATTTTCTAAAGAAAGAAAAACATCTACACCACTGCCTACATTTATTTGACCATGGAATAGTTTTCACTCTGAAATCACTTATTGAAACTGCAAGGCTAATTCAGGAAACACTGACTTCCTTTCTTGTACTTCTTTCAACAGAGTGGGTCAAGCCAGTCAACCAATACTGAATATTCGCTGCACATAAGATATTCTCTGTTAGAGGTTCTTTCTTAAAGATAAGGAAAAATATAGTCTCTCTGCTTAAAAAAAAAAATCATCATCTAGTGGGACAAGTAATTCACAGATGATGATAAACCTAAATTACACTAGATTAAATGATATTTTAAAAGCATAAATAAAAAAGAAGCATCAGTATTGTGGTAGCATTTCTGATGGGTCTTGGAAAACACCAACAGAGACTGCCATGGGTCAGTACTAACAAAGAGTAAAAATCACAGCAGGGAAACCTAAGTTTCACTTGGAAAACAGCAACTGCATGAACAAGACAGAAAAGGACTGACACATGGGGCTATAAATGAAGGCTGGGATGTGGAAGACTGTTTGCAAAGACAGTCTGAATAATTCCTCCCATCTCCATATACACACCCTTCTGCAACGTGCCTTGACTGCACTTCCATCGACAGGTGGGCTCTAGTTCCCCACAACCCTGAATACCCAGCTGGCCTTCTGACTGCTTCACCCAACGGAATACACTGATGTGTGACTTCTAAGTTTAAGCCTCAGGAAGTGCCGTAGCTTCCGCTCTCACCCTCTTGGAAGCCTGACACTGCCATGTGAAGAAGCCTGGGGCAGCCTCCTTGAGGGAGAGATCTTATAAAGAAGGAGGCCTAGCAAACTGCTCGACCAACACCAGACACGTGAACTAGACCATCCAGATCGGGGTGAGCCACTGAATGACTAAAGCCTCATGAATGGTCCCATGTTGAGATCAGAATCACTCAGTTCGGCACAATCCGAACAAACAGAACAGTTCTTTTCCTAAGCTACTAAATCCTGGGGTGGTCTGAGATGCTGCAATAAATAACTGATACAGAATCATATATTATGGGGGGGAGGGGATTTTTTTATTATTATTTTTTTGAGACAGAGAAAGAGAATGAGAGCACAAGCAGGGGGAGCAGCAGAGAGAGAGGGAGAAGCAGACTCCCTGCTGAGCAAGGAGCCCAATGTGGGGCTCAAACCCCGGACCCGGAGATCATGACCTGAGCAAAGACAGCCCCATAACAGACTGAGCCACCCAGGTGCCCCTACTGGGTGTGTGTGGGGGGGATTTTTAATGACAAAATGGAAAGGTTTCAATTTATTTTTCACTATTAGATTTGTAGGTAAAGGGAACCACCCCCCCCCCCTTTTTTTTAAGTTTTTATTTATCTACTTGTCAGAGAGAGAGCACAAGCAGGGGGAGTGGCAGGCAGAGAGAGAAGCAGGCTCCCCACTGAGCAGGGAGCCCAATGTGGGACTTGATCCCAGGACCCTGGGACCACGACCTGAGCAGAGGGCAGACGCTTGACCCACTGAGCCACCCAGGTGATCTGGAACCACACCCTTTTTCTTGTTGGTAGGGAAAGGCAAGATTGTGGAACAAAGGCTTGTCATCTATAGTCTGAGATCCCATGACTTACACAAATGAAGCCCCACTCTTCATGCCCGCTTCTTCTCCCTTAAACTATGATACCAAACTGACTTATTTAATGACCAACTTTGCCTTAATCAGTCACTGAAATACAGCTCAAAAGAATTCAAAAAAGAACATCCAATTACTATGGTTAAGAATGTGAATAATACCTAGAAAACAAACATATTACCTCAAACACATTCTTTTTGCTGGATTTATCCTTCGAAGCCATCTCCACCGTCGCCCCCTTTAGGTCCACTGTGAACTCTGGCTTGGACTGATTACTCCCAAACTTCATTTTAGAAAAAAGGAAAAACCTTTGTGATGTTCATGTACACGTGTACATCAAAAAGAATTAAGACCAATTATTAACAATAAACCAAACAGGTGATTACCTCAAATTTTTGTCTTTATTATAACAATTCCTACTTTAAAACTGAAATGTCTGAAGATATGAATATATTGTTCATAGAAACAGAAATAAAATGGCTCAACTTCCATCTTAATAAGAAAAATATAAAATAAAGCCACACTAAAATCTTTTTCACCCATCAGTATAGAAAAAAAAAATTCCAGAAGTTAGATGAAAAACTATGTTTTTAATGATGGACTATATGCTGGCTAATTGAACATAATAATAAAAAACACTATGTTTCTCATAGAGTATGGGGTCTTCATATGCAAGTGGAGTATAAACTAGAATAATGCCCAGAGAGGGAAAACTGGTAATACTGTATTTGCAAATTTACAAACACATGTATCCTTTGGCTTTAGCAATTTCATTTCTTGGAAATGATCCTAGACTATATATGACTAAGTAAAAGGATGTGTTCAAAAAGGCAAGGCAATATTCTTACATATGTATAAATAATATCTGGCAGATAACAAGTGCTTTTCCACCTAATAAACAGTCTCTAAACCAATGTGATTCTCTGCTTTCAAGAGTTATTTCCTTATCGACTATTTATGTTGTCAACAACAACTTGTAAAAGCAAAACTCTAAGCCCCATATTCTTTTATTCAGCCTTTGTTAGAAATTATAACTAGAGCCAGATGCTAATAAAGCCTTAGCTTTATTTAATAAGGAACTGTGAAAAGAATAGGAAGATAGCTGACATGGGTGGTTTGAAAAGAAAAAGCACTTAGCTAGCTATTATACTTTGTTAACCAGATAAGGAAAAGATTAGCAAGTAGCAGAAAATTCATGTTAAATATAGACTTACTCTGCATCTTGCCATCATTAAGTTAAATTTTTAAGTCTGTTAACTAAGAATAGAAAATAGCATTCCTATTTACTGAAAGGTTTAGAGGTTTTAAAATCTTTAAGGGCTAATGAATTGTCATCTTAAGGTGAAAGATTTGTTACAGGAAATTTCATTTCTTAAAATATTTTCAAGTCGTATTATGTTTGTCACTGGAAATGGATCTTACCCATCAACCTAGTGATATCTTATGCACTATTCATAACGTCAGTAACTACTCAGTGGCTTCACATTTAATAAATGGTTCAACTTCATCTGTTTACTTCATCTTTTCAGCTAGCAACGTGGACTTAAATAATGTACTTGTTATAACAAAACAACATTTAGGATATTATCTTGAATGTATTAGTGGGATCAAAACAAAGTTTAGGATATTATATGAAATTTTTATTAGTGGAATCATAATAACAATCACAAAAATTTTAACTATTCTACAAAGTCTTGCCCTTCTTAAGTACCTTTTGTCATTCAAAAGACATTTAATAAACCATAAAGCTACAATGGGCAAAGATAACTTTCTGAGTAAAAATGATATATCTCAAAAGTTACAAAACTTAAATGTGCACATTTAACCGAATGGTAAAAATCAATGTACGTAACTTGTTGCCATCACATGCTCTGTCAATGGTTAGCTATAAGCTAAGATACAAACAACTAACCAAGTATGATAGGGCAACCAAATACAAGTACAATGATAGGGCATAGAATGCTGGTAAAAATGCATTCAATACGGTTGGGAAAATTTTGTGTTTGTTATTCATCCTTTTTCAAACTTTAATTCCACTCGATCATACACCCTCCAACATATTCGGGGCAAAGAAAATGGAATTACTGTGGCAAGGGGCATGCAACAAGAACACATACAGTGACAGCTGAAACAGGATCAGATTTTACATATGCAGGCCGACGATTGACAGAATTTTTCCAAGAAGAAAGCAGCGAAAGCAAGAGCTCAGAGACTGAGCCCTGTTGGCAGAATGACTTGATGGAGAAAGGGAAGAAAATGATGATGTCATAATAATGCACAATGGCAAAATGACACACAAGAGAAAAGCATATGGAACCAAATGGGACAAAAATACAATTCTACAAGCAGACACAACACAAAGCTTAACTTCCAAATATTTTTATAAAGCCCCTCTCTTTTATATCTCAGAATATTTTCTCTTACTACATAAATTTATATTTTATTTTTAAGGTGAATGCTTTATAGAAATTACATTAAACAGACTTGTCTTAGCCTATATTCACAACAGAAGACTTGAGGGGTAATAGGGAGAGTCACATCTGGCCCACTGCCACCTTGCTCAGCCCCCTACTCAGAAATCCCTGAGCTTCCCTCTTTGTGACCTGCTGGGCAACTGTCCTCTGGTATCCCTTTCTAAGTCCTCTCTTGGGAGTGGCCCTACCATCCAGTTGGCCTTCCCCTTCCTCTAAGACAATGGTTCTCAACCACAGGCAATTTTGTCCTCTGGGGGGCATCTGACAATGTCTGGAGACATTTGTGGTTGTCACAACTAGAGGTGGGGATGCTTCTGTCTCCTGCTAAATACCATACTATTTATAGGAGAGCCCCCAGAAGAAAGAATTATCTGACCCAAAAACGAGACAAATTTTAGAAATTTAAATGCACATATAAGTAAATTTGAATAATTAGTGGTATTTGTAGGGTGATTTTTGTAATACTCAAGGAATATGATGAATGATATCTGAAAGGGAGCACAATACATGTCATGTCATATCGTCACCGTGCACTTGTCAGTCTTCCCCATTACAGTGTAAACCATGAAGACAGAGACCATGTTACTTCTAAAACCTCCAAACTTTTAACACAATGCCTAGAACAAAACAGGCTTTTATATGTCTGTTGAACAAACCAGGTGAAATGAAGTAAGAAAAAAAGCAAGTATTAATTTATGCTATTGATATCACAATCCAGTAGATAACTAATACACAGAAAACAACTGGGATGTATCCAGCCTAAAGGAGAAAGAATGGCTCACTGGATGATACAGCATCTATGTAAAATTTATCTTATACAGTGGAGTTGCATGCTGCATATGTACATTTTGTTTACTCAATATTAACTATCAATGGAACCAAAACTAAATACAAAGTGTGAATTATTTAAAAACAACAAAAAACAACTCCAAATAGTGTGGATGATTTTGCTCAGCCTTCAATCAATGAATATATGCTCTGCAGTGAGCAAAAGATTTGAACCTGCTCTTTCTTCAAGTGGACCTAGGTGTAGGTTTTTGCACTATGTGTGAAAAACTAATTTTTTAAAGAACAAAACTTCTGCAACATGGCCCCTTAAAATAAACCAAACTCAAAAAAGATAATAACAACAACAACATAAACCAAACTCAACTAGAGGAAAAGCAATCTCCCCCAACATCAAAGGCAAAAGATGGCTCTGCTACAGATCAACTTCTAACACCTTCCTAAGAGATACTCAAGGACAATTTTCACTGTAGGTGATTTTTGTCTTTTTGGCTTATATACCAGCCTTAGACTCTCATCCTCAGGTGTGATTTCACTATACAAAAAGGATACATTTTACCTACAATAAATCTACTTGGTGACTGAGCAGAGAAACTATTATTTTTTTTCAAATCATTTTTAACTATTCTAATTACAGAGTTAATTAAGAACCCTCTCACATATTTCACCAATTTTTAATATTTATGAATGTTGTTTAATGCCAAAATACATTATACACACTCACACACTTTTTATTTGAATAATCTTACTTGCTTTTACTTAGACCACTTAAATTAGTTTTCATTCCCTTCATAAGTGTTACATATGGAAAGAAAAAGCAAGATAGTCTGATCTTTAAATATGCCATAAAACAAAAATTAAGAATTGATTGCATAACCAAGCATTTTATCACCTTCCACATCTGTTTAGTTTTTATTGAGACTATAAATACAGTAGGACTGTATTTTATTTAATTATACTAATCTGAAATGATGACATACTGTATGATTCACAATGTATTAGTAAAATTATTTATTTTTTTAATTTTTTTTTTTTAAGATTTTATTTATTTATTTGAGACAGAGAGAATGAGAGAGACAGAGAGCACATGAGAGGGGGGAGGGTCAGAGGGAGAAGCAGGCTCCCTGCTGAGCAGGGAGCCCGATGCGGGACTCGATCCAGGGACTCCAGGATCATGACCTGAGCCGAAGGCAGTCGCTTAACCAACTGAGCCACCCTGGCGCCAAGTAAAATTTCATTTAAAGGCAAAAATTCAAATAGCAAATCCCCCAAATTAAAAACTCATTAAGAATTCTACAATTGCCAAGCTGGCTAGCTCAGTGAATTTTAAGCTCTGCCTCCGCTATTGCCACAGGGCAACACAGTGACACAGCTCTGGCTGATGAACAGAAACACCTCACACCCTTTGTCAGGATGAGATTTAATTATGAGTTCTGAATTATGTAAAACCTTCATGAGTGAAAATCTTAAATGAAATGCAACCAGCCTGTACTAACAATCATGTACTAACAATCACTTAACATCTTTTCACTTAAAACAAAGTTTCCATTTTCTTTTACAAGCATACAAACCTGCCTACCTAAATGATGCCTCTTACCAACCATAATGCTCTACTTTATCTGTACATACCACAACCTCCAATCTTTAGGTATCAGAAATTATCAAATAAATGCCCATTATCCAGCTTTCTTTGGGTACTTTTTTTTTTATTACTTATTTAATCTCTGTTTCTCCATTCCTCTTCTTTCATTCATTTCCTGCGCTCAATTTCAAATAAAAGTTGAGCCACAAGTAGGAAGAAGAAATAATTGCATAACCCTGTAGAAATGCATTAACACAAACGAGAAAGTACCATATGCTTTACCTCAGGGGGAAAAAAAAAAAAGGAGAGACATATAACTATCAATTTAAGATAAGTGAAACCAGACTTTCAATCTTTAAATATGGAAAACATATATTACAGGTCAGTTCCACTGTATTGGCTAAACAATGAAGCAAATCAAAGGTGAAGTAAAACAGAAGAAACATTCTAGAATGTTCATTTTAGTGCCCAATCCAGAGGATTTTTGGGTTGCCATATCAAAGTATTTGTGGACTAACATGCTCTGTGACATTCCTGTTTTAGAAGAATGTTAAATGGCTGCATTATAAATGTAGATGAGTAGAATTTGCTTGAATTTTATAAATAGATTCTTTTTCAACAAACATAAGGTCCATAGGTCCTGTTCAATTTTAAAATGACTCAGTAAATGTAAGGAAATACTGGTTAAGGTAGGATATAAAGCAAACTAAAGGCATTAGATTGATTTCATTTTACATTTTATTTAAGCATTGACCTTTCAAACTCAATTACCAAAAATTTTTGGAACTATCCAGAGCATGGACTCTGGAGACAAAATGCCACCTAGATCTGCCACTTAGTAGCTAGCCATACAACCTTCAGCAAGCTCCTTAACTGATATATACCTCATTTTCTCAACTACAAAAGGGGAAGGGGGGTTGATAAAGAGTAGCTATATCAGACTTAAGAAGATAATATATACCTAATCATCTGTCCTTAGAATAGTACCTGATACATAGAGTAAGCATTCAAAAAGTGTTAGCTGTTATGTCACAAATTATAATTTTTAGTATTTGTATTACAAATTAACTAAGGAGTAACAATAGTAAACATTCAGATATACAAAAAACTTCAAAACCCCATGAGTAATGGGACATTTACTTATTCTTCTAAAAGCTGGCTGACATTATATACAGATATGGACACCTGAATCACCGACTAGTATCCAAAGATCAGATTACAATTCAAGGTGGGGCTTCACGTATTTCTTTGCTTATTTTCTGACTAGCTGAATTAGCCAAGTCACAAGCACAAGGAAGTTTTACAGGTATCCCCTGCTTTTCGAAAGATCACATTACACCACTTCGCTTTTTACAAAAGACTGACATTAGTACCTGTTTTGCTAGCCAAAACAAATCTGATGAGTATTTCCACTTTCATTAAAAAAGGTTAAAAGTGAAAAACAAGTGTTTGTTGCACTGCGAGCAATTAATGGAGGCAGCACGCACCCTGAGCAAAGTGGCCCACTAAGCTCCTTCTCAGGAAACCACATTCAGCATGTCAGCATCCCTACCATAGTTTTCACTGCGTGAGCATCTGTGTTTTAGCTCCTCTGTGCATCCATTAGCAAGATATATATCCTAAAGTATCAGAAAAGCCTAAAAGGTTTTTTTTTGGGGGGGGGTGGTCTGGGAATGCTCAAAAACTTTTCCATATAGATTAATGATAACTGCTTCTTTGCTTTACAAAGGTTTCATAGGAGCACCCTGCTTTTGGACAGCAGGGGAAACCTGTAATACCCCGGAGCTGAATCAAGATACCTATTTTGTCCTATAATGTCCAAGTAGTAAGCCCATCTTTCAGTTCAATGGATAAAAGAGACTTTGTTGATTTTAATAATACAACTAATCAGACTTCTAATTAGCCTCCCTCTTTTGTTACAAGTCAAAATGCATCTTTTAGAAAACTTTACTTTTATTTGCACACCAGCTGTAGCTAGAAGGACTCTGAAATACTTTGTGAAATTCAGGTACAATACCATCCACATAATTTAATGTGTAAAGCCTTCAAAGAGAAGAAATACTTACCCAACTTGTGCTGCTTCCTTGAGTTTTGGTAAAGAGTAAAGATGAACCTTGCAACACGGCCCAAGAAGACAACCAGTTCTTTCTGTAAGTATAAAGAGAACCAACTAAAGCTTTGCTATTCAGTTTTTCCAACCCAATTTAAAATATTACAACCTAGTTATCAATGTTGCCCACAATTTACATTCATTATTGACATTCTGTTTTTATTGAGGATTTAATGCTAATGGAATTACATTCATGTTTCCAAACTGACCATAAAGACCCCCCAAACAAATGAAGCTAATAGAGATGTTATCAGAATAACAATATGCCTAATTATGTTCACATGGTAATCCAGCACACTTGTGATCAAGGGTACCAAATTACCTTGAAGGAACATGAACTGAACTCTGTATTTGGCAAGAATTATTCATGATTAAAAATCAGGAAAACATGTCCACCTCACCTAATTCTTTATAGATACAGATTGTTTTATATTTCTTGGTTATCTCCCTTCCCCTAATAAGGCTACACTAGGTAATTGGGAGATACTAGGCACATTAGTAGATAGTAAGTATAATAAATTACATACTCATCGATCAGAGGTTACTAAGATGAGGTTTCTTTTATATTTTTTGTTTTATTTTATATTTTATATTTTTATATTTATATATATTTGTATTTATATATTTATACTTATTTTATATTTTATATATTTTTATATTTCTTGGTTATCCCCCTTCCCCTAATAAGGCTACACTAGGTAAATGGGAGATACTAGGTACAATAAATTACATACTTATTGATCATGATGTTACTAAGGGTTTAATTGTCTAAGTTATAAAATCAACACATATATATCAAAATTCTAAATATAAAAATGTATAAGAAGAAAGGTCCCCATTTCTTCTCCTTCAATCCACATTCCAGAGACAACCAATGGAATGCAATCATTGGCAGACTAAAATGAATGTCAAATATGTCTACTACAGAAATTTATTAGAGCAAACCTTACTGCCAAACATACTGACAGTTTTGTGAAAATTCAATGGGCACTCAAAAGGAGTTCTCCATTTTCAGAATGTAGAATTTAATAACTATCAATTAGACCTACTTTGTTATTTTCTATGTATACTTGAACTTCATGGATTAAAAGTGAAATAAAGTTTACTACTATTGAGTTTCTATTTTTCCTTTTATTTCCTGTTGTTTTTGCTTATGGCTGTTGATGCTACTTATTTGGTGAATGGCTATTCTTAATGATTAGATCTTTATTGTAGATTTATCAATGGTTTTGACATGCCTGTTTTTTAACTTTTCTGAATCATTTTTATGATATTTTCTTTATATATAATATTTAGGTGGGTTTTGTTTTGTGCTTCAATCTGAACATCTTTTTCTTTCAACAGGGGAGTACAGTCCATTTACATTTATTGATATTGGTATCTGTTTGGCCCTTGTGTTACCATTTTGTTACATCTTCATTTTATTGTTTTATTGGATCTCAAGATATTTTGAAGGGATTTATTTTTATTTGTAAGTTTATTTTATACTCAATCTTCTATTTCTATAGAGAGCATCTACTAACTCCCTCCTCTGAAAAATGCTAAAATCAGTATATTTCCACTTTAAATAAACATTTTGAATTTAATTTTCAAAATCAGAAAAACCATAGAACTAGTAAATATATCTAAGAATATTGGGGTTTTTTTAAAAGATTTTATTTATTATTTGACAGAGAGAGACACAGTGAGAGAGGGAACACAAGCAGGGTGAGTGGGAAAGGGAGAAGCAGGCTTCCCACTGAGCAGGGAGCCCGATGTGGGGCTTGATCCCAGGACCCTGGGATCATGACCTGAGCCATCCAGGCACCCCAAATATTGGATATTTGAATACTGAATTAACAACAGCTGCCTCAAAGACTGAAGCACTTGCGTACCTGAGTTGCAAGCAGAATTAGTCACATTTTTTTCCTGGAAAAAAAATTAAAATGACTGATGGTCATACTACGATTATTTAGACTTGAGTATCTGGCAGGTAGACATTATCTCAAAAATAAATGAAGTGAGTCTGTCATTTAAATGATAGTATTTGTTGACAAAAAATTGAAGCTTTCAAAGGGAAAATAGAATTTTGGAAAACCTGGCATATCTGCCACTGTGAGGTTGACAATTTTCCAATATCTAATGACTTTTCTGATGTTACTGATTTGTGATTCTTTGATATTATAAAATATGTCAACATTTGAAAAGTCAGCAAACTTAGTGAACCAGTATTTTCCACATGATCTGCAAGATGCTACAAAATTACGTACAGGTAAAGATTCCTTCAAAATGCAACACAGACCAATGCTTTTTTAAGATTTTATTTATTTATTTATTTGAGAGAGAGAGAGCAGGAGAGCAGGGTGAGGGGCAAAGGGAGAAGCAGACTCCCCGATGAGCAGGGAGCCTGATTCGGGGCTCGATTAGGGGCTTGCTCCTGGGACTCTAGGAGCGGAAGGCAGATGCTTAACCGACTGGGCCACCTGGGCTCCCCCAGACCAATGGATTTTGATGTAACTAAGTATGAAAAGTTCATTAACAGTTTTTTACAGTCTTAACTTGTGGAGTTTTGGTGTAGCAGAAGAATACATGCAATTATCTAACAAGAATATTAAAACACTCCTCCCTTTTCCAACTTTATATAAGAAAAGGATTATCTTCATATACTTCAGCCAAAATAATGTGTCACAACAGACTGACTGCCAGCAAAGATGAGGATCCAGCTGTTTTCCATTAAGCCAAATACTAAAGACTTGCAAAAATGTGAAACAATGCCACACTTCTCAAGGAAAATTTTTGTATTGGAAATACAGGGGTTTTTCTTTATAAAAATGTTACTCACGTTAACATATAATGGGTTATTAGTTTTAAGAATTAAAAAACTTAAAATGTCTCAGTTTTAATTTCTCAAATCTACAGCTATAAACTATACACACAAAAGTTCTTTGCAGTAATCAATAATTTTTAAGAGTTTAAAGGGGTCCTCAGATCAAAATGTTGGAGAACCGCTAATATACAGGAAATTAAAAAACTAGTTTGCTCAACTCTACATAAATAAATTTAAAGATGAAATGGATGATATTCTTTGGAAAACATAAATCACTGAAAGTTTTCCAAAATAAGCAGAAAATCTAAAAGACTAATTACCACAGGAAAAACGACAACAATGAAAAAAAAGAAAGTGGCCAAAGAACTATGTGCACTACATATGCCCAAAAGGGAGAAAAAATAAAGACCCCATTCACAAGTGACTTCGCCCAAGGAACGATTTAAGGAACAAATAATTGCAGTATTTGTAAAGTTGTTTCAGAGCACTTAAAAGAAAAATTTCCAAGTACTAAAATGTGACAAAAACAGTTCATTTAGAGCAAATCTTAAGATCTTAACTACATGTAAATTTTAAACTCTTCTTTACACAACAGGCTGATTATAAACTCATAGCATTTTAGCAGTTCTTAAAAACTGGGGAAAATGCAACTTGCTTATTACAAAGAGTTAATTGCCTTAATTCATTAGGAGATACCATACAACCAGAAAAGCCAACAACCCAATAGACAAACAGATAAAGGAGATGAACTGACAAATTAACAACAAAAAAAAAGACATACAAATGGCTTAGGATACCCTACCACACTAAAAAGTAATACAAATTAAAAATATTCTCTCTCTAATCTCTATTAGCAAAGATCAAAAAAGTGGACAACATATTGAATTGGCAAAGACTGGAGAAATCCACTGCTTTTGGAAGTATGAACTGCTTCAGTGCCTTAGAGCAGTAATATGGAACACTATCAAAATGACTACTGCACATAGCTTAGCAATTCCACTTTTGTAAAATCTATTCCACAGGGATTTACATATTTGCAAAATGAACTATGTAAGATGTAAGTGTAATACTGTTTGCAACAGCAAAACAATGTAAACATTCTAAATGTCTAGCAGTAGATAGGCATATTTACCTACCATATGGCTAAATAAACTAGGATACAGCCACACAATATATAACCACAGAACAGTTAAAAACAATGTGGTGGCTCCACATGCAACAAGAGAGAACCATCTACAAAATAAACTGTTCAAAGACTGTGTTTAAAAAATTAATCTATGCAGGGGCACCCGGGTGGCTCAGTCATTTGAGCATTGGACTCTTGGTTTTGGCTCAGGTCATGGTCTCAGGATTGTGAGAGCCAGCCCTGCATTGGGATTGGCACTCAGCTCAGAACCTGCTCAAGATTCTCTCTCCCTCCCCGTCTGCATTTCCTTCCAATGTGCGCACTCGCACTCATTCTCTCTCAAATAAATAAATTCTTTAAAATATATATTTAAAAAATTAATCTATGCATATAGAAATAAATATATCCTTTATCTCCAAAGGAAAACACTACATCTCATTCACTTAACTAGTTGCCTCTGGGGAATGGAAATCATGGCTGGGTAACTGACTTTTGGCTAAATACTCTGTATTTTGTTGTTTTACCATGTGCACTCACTGCTTACTGAAAAAAAATTATTTCCTTATTTATTTTAAAGATTTTATTTATTTGACAGAGAGAGAGAGAGAGAGAGCACAAGCAGGGGGAGGGGCAGAGGGAAATGCAGGCTGAGCAGGGAGACCGATGTGGGACTTGACCCCAGGATGCTGGGATCATGACCTGAGCCAAAGGTAGACGCCCAACCGACTGAGCCACACAGGCGCCCCTGAAAAATTTTTTTCAAATAAAGCTAATGCTTGCTCAGAATCCTATGCTTTATCACCCCTGAATTTAATATAATCTTAAAAAATATGTCAAGACAAAGGAAGATTTTCATACATTTCATGACAATCCTACATACATATTAGAAAATACATTATTTGAAATTTTTTTTTTGTTTTTTTAAAAAGATTTCATTTATTTATTTGACAGAGAGAGACACAGCGAAAGAGGGAACACAAGCAGGGGGAGTGGGAGAGGGAGAAGCAGGCTCACCGCCGAGCAGGGAGCCCGATGTGGGGCTCGATCCCAGGACCCTGGGATCATGACCTGAGCCGAAGGCAGACACTTAACAACTGAGCCACCCAGGCGTCCCACATTATTTGAAATTCTTATGAACCTTTTAATCATTTCTACTAGAATGTAACTGTACTTATAGCTTTTATTTATTTCAAATAAAACATGTCAGAACATTAATGGTTTTTGTACTTACCGAACCTTTTTCCCATTTTCAGTAATTTTTGTTACATTTAGTAATCCATATTTTTCTTGACCCTATGGAACACAGTAATACTGTTTATACATCATTCATACAGACAATGAGGTCCAAATTCTTACATATGATTGAATCAAAATGATCTGGTACTCTAAAAATTAGCTTAAAAAAAAGATTAGTCAGTATGTAATATGCTTAGTTCTAAAGTATATTAGGAATACAATTTCCTAACACTTCTGTATAGTTATTTTCAGTAATTTTACAATTAAACTTTTCCTCTTCTCAAGTCCTGGCAACCATAAGGTACTTTGCTATCAAATCAGATTTCCACATGAATACCACTAGTCAGCCCTGGAAAAATGATTTATAACTTCCTGTTCAAAGAAAGTAATATAATGCTATGATGATAAATACCACAAAAAGCAATTATTTACTTTGCTGTTATTTTACAGCAGTACAGTCTGGAAATCATTTAAGATACTAATAACCTGCTTTGTCAAATGTAAAAATAACTAGATAGAACAAATGCAGTAACTGCATTAATAAATTACTCAAAAGTAAATGTTATTATGCATAGAACTGGCCTTAAGGTGGCATTAAAAAATTCAGTATGAGCTTCATCACATATATTGTCAGATGGTAAACTGAGGCTCTGGACAAACCAGATACACTAGTTGGCTGATGTCATATTAGTGACCCAGCTTTATCATCAAACCCCAGGAAAGCAAGAGCCACTTTGCTGAGGTTAACAGTCATCTTAAAATTCCTCCAGGTAGAAGAAAGGAAACACTTTCCCATTGCTTTAGCTTCCAATATTCAACTGAATTTAATCAAAATGAGTCGGTGTCTACAGCAATATCACCAATATTAGTCAGCACTGTATATACATGACAGAGCAAATGTACTTCAACTGAAACATACACACAGCACATAGAAAAAATATTCCCAATTCAGAATTTATTTCTATTTAATCCATACCTTGGCTATTTTCTCAATGTACTTCCTTTAGAAAAAGATAAATCTTTTTCTTGTATGGGATATAATGTTTGAAAGTTTTTGCCTAGCCTGATAAGAACTCTCACCTATAAACGAAGCTGATAAAGTATTAATGTTAATTCATTTGTGGTATACTGGGAACTTGGGAAATAGTCATATGAAGTTTTATTGTAATTTTTTCATAAAGCATAGATCTCCTTAGATATGCAAGTCTGATACTTCTAAGAGCTGTTGCCTCTTAACAAAACATCAATCACACAGTTAGAAGTATGCACAAGATATTAAATAAAAACATTCCCAATTTACTATCAGAAGCAGGAAGGAAAAAAAACTTCCAAAGATATAGGAACTAAGTACAACATTAATCTGAGAGGATGGCACTGCTTATGTGAGCTAGGGAGCACAGGAATTAGAAGAGCAGGAGTGGGAACCAAGCCTATAAAAAAATGCCAAAGCTGGAATTGAACAGGACAAAAGAGCTGAGGCATGAGGGGAACACTGAAGAAAACTGGAAGGGATAGGAGTAGTGACAGACCAAATAAGCTTAAGGATGAGAGAGACATTCTAAATCAGGGATTCTTACCTGAGGCAATGGATGGACCGAAACTGGTACAAAATTGTGCGTGGATAGTATATACATTGTTCAAGGGTCCAGAAAGCTCATGAAATTCTCACAGGGATCAAGACCCCCCAGTACTAATGCTCTAAGTATTAAACACTCTAATTTGAACATAAAATAAGAACAAAATTTGCCACATCCAAAATGTACAAATACAAAAATACTTAGCATACAACATGGTAAGTGTTATGAGAAAAGTGTATCTAACTTAACCTGAGAGACAGAGGGAGCGAAGAGACGGCTTCCTGGAGACTCTTGAGCTAAGGAATTGGGGTTAGCTAGATGGTGACAGTAGGAGAAGAAAACAACAAAGTATAAAGGTACAGAAGTGAAAGAGAGCATATCATATCTGAGGGCCTTTAAGTTCCCTCAAAGTAATGGGTGAGGTGAAGTAGCAAAGAAATGCAGCAAAGTATGAACTAAGAAAGGATGGCAAGACAGGGAACCAACCAGAATACATTCTAGTAATTACCACAGGAGATGGTGAAGGCCTGAGCTAGGGCAGTGCCTGTGAGCAAGTGATGAGGAGCCAAATTTGAGAGATTCAGAAGACAGAATTGACAGGGACTGGATAGGAGGGTAAGAGGGCAGATCTGAGGAAAACTCCCAACCTTGAACAACTGGGTAGATGGTGGTATCTCAGTTTTAATGACACTTTTTTAGAGAAGCTTTCCCAGACCACTCTTTAAGTAGGAGCTCCTCTACATCTCCCATTATTTACCACTGCCCCCCCAGTTTGGTCCCTTCATTGCACTTAATGCAAAGTACAATCACATCTTTTATTTACGGTCTATTTTAATGGGCTGTACACTGGGACCATATCTGCTGTGTTCATCAATGTATGACCAGTGTCTATAGCATGTAGTTGATGTTTGATACAATACATATCTGTTGAAGTAATTAACCAACATATTAGCAGTGCTATTCCAAGAAAGGGATATAAAAGAATGCCGGTGATGGAGAAAATAAAGCTTTAACTTTTAAACACTGAAGTTTCTGAATTTGATATAAAAGTGCTAAAGAGGCAGATGAATAATAGAGGTTTGGCTATACAGGTGAGAGGTTTGGGAAAAAAATTTAGACAGATTTTGAACATACTTTTTTTTTTTAATTTTATTTTATTATGTTATGTTAGTCACCATATAATACATCATTAGTTTTTGATGAACGTACTTTTTGGTGTGCTTTCGCTACTTAATATGATTCAAAATGAACCAATGTTTTTGTGTGGCTTATTAAAAAAACTCCATAAAAATATCTTGTTAAATCTTGCAAAAAATGCCCATATTTACACACGAATATTTCTTAGTCTAAATATATTTGATACTCCAAAGGAAACTTCATACTGAAAATAAGCAGAAATGTTTTAATAAGGACTAGCAAAATATGGTTACAATTTAATCAAAATGACTGTACTTGAGATTACCCTATCCTAATAGGGTAAGAAAACAATAAAATGTTAGTTCTATTAAGTAATCTGGGAAAATTTCCACAAGCTCATAATCACTTTGCAGTCTCCAGAATTTTTTTTTTTTTTTTAAGTAGGCTCCATGCCCAGCATGGAGCCCAATGTGAGGCTTGAACTCCTAACCCTGAGAGATCAAGACCTGAGCTGAGATCAAGAGTCGGCCGCTTAACCAACAGAGCCACCCAGGTGCCCCTACAGGGTCTAGAATTTCTAATCAATGTTGCATTCATTTAGTGAAACAGGAATTTCCCAATTTGGCTAACAATTATTATATACCCAAATCAATACAACCCTTCAAAATCCTTATCTTCAGTTAATCATGAAGTATTTTTTTTAATACAGAGTAACTTTGCACAGTGATACAGTGGTTGAAGAAGAACGAGGTGATGCAACTTCCAGAACAGGTAAGTTGACAAGGAGAGAAGACAAACTAGTGGTTGCCAGGGGAGAGGAAAGGTGATGGGGGAATGTGGGGTGAATGCTTAATGGGAATGGGTTGCCCTTTCAGGTAATGAAAATGTCCTGAAGCCAGGTAGAAGTGATCACTGCACACTCTGTAAATATACTATATGCCATTTAAATGTATACTTTAAAATGGTTAATAGCTAGTTTTCTGTTGAAATTTCTGTTGAAATTTCACCTCAATAAAAAAAAAAAAAAATTTAGGTGAACGTAGGTGGCTCAGTTGGTTAAGCATCTGACTCTTGATTTAGGTTCAGACCATGATCTCAGGGTCCTGAGATTAAGCTCTGTGTTGGGCTCTGTGCTGAGCATGGAGCCTGCTTAAGATTCTCTCTCTCCCTCTCCCTCTGCCCCTCCCCCCTTCTCTCTCTCTCCTCTCTAAAAAAAAATTTTTTTAAATATATTGTAGAGGCGCCTGGGTGGCTCAGTCATTAAGTGTCTGCCTTCAGCTCAGGTCATGATCCCGGGGTCCTGGGATCGAGCCCCGCATCGGGCTCCCTGCTCGGTGGGAAGCCTGCTTCTCCCTCTCCCTCTGCCCCTGCTTGTGTTCCCTCTCTCGCTGTGTCTCTGTCAAATAAATAAATAAAATCTTTAAAAATATATATATATTTTAAAGAACTACTGTTTTAAAAAATCAGATGTTTAAATCATGTTTTTTAAAAAGGCTTTAGAACAGTTCTATTCAATGAAAAAAATTAATATGTCCATAATACTTTTGCTAAAGGAAGTGTTAAAACATTCTTTTCTCCAATGCATTTTAATACCATAATTGGAAATACAGGGTCAAAAACTCAAGTTTCCAAATTATATATTCTTAAATTTTACTCAGTATTCAGTGACTGGTAACTTCAAAATGCACATTTATCTGGAGTACTACTCAGCCATAAAAAAAGAATGAAATCTTGCCATTTGCAATGACATGGATGGAGCTAGAGAGTATTATACTAAGCAAATTAAGTCAGAGAAAGACAAATACCATATGATTTCACTCATATGTGGAATTTAACAAAATAAAGAGAGAAGACAAACCAAGAAACAGACTCTTAACTATAGAGAACTAACTGAGGGTTACCAGAGGGGAGGTGGGTGAGTGGATGGATTCAATAGGTGATGGGGATTAAGGAGTGCACTTGTTGTGATGAGCACCAGGTGTTGTATGGAAGTGTTGAATCACTATATTGTACACCTGAAACTAATATAATACTGTATGTTAACTGGAATTTAAATAAAAACTTTAAAAAATAAAATAAAATGCACATCTGTCGTAGATACACTGGGACAGAGACAGGGTTCTTAGATCAGTCCACAAAATCCTATTTAACCCACACTGTACTCATACTGTACAGAAATAGAACACTGATCTTTTTAAAAAGTATATGCTGGGAATTTCAAAAAAGGATTTGAAGGGGCCATGAAAAATAACAATAATGCATCTGAAAATTGGAAATGAAACAAGAAAAAAATGAACATGTTTAAAATTTGTATTAAGGGATGGAATTTTAAATCTGGTTTAATTAGAAGAGCTTAAATGAAAACATCATGCTAAATGAACAAAGTCTGTCAAAAAAGACCACATATTATAGGATTCTATTCCTTTTTTTTTTTTTTTAAAGATTTTATTTATTCATTTGAGACACAGAGATAGAGAGAGAGAGAGAGAGAGAGAGCATGAGCAGTGGGAGAGGCAGAGGGAGAGGGAGAAGCAGGCTTCCTGTGGAGCAGGGAGCCCGATGTGGGACTCGATCCCAGGACCCTGGGATCATGACCTGAGCCAAAGGCAGACGCTTAACTATCTGAGCCACCCAGGCGCCCCTATAGGATTCTATTCTTATGAAATGTCCAGAATAGGCAAATCCAGGGAGACAGAAAGTAGATTCCTGGTTGTTCAGGGCTTGGTGAGACGTGGAGGTTAGACAGGTGATAACAAACAGAACGTGGTTTCTTCCTGAGGCGATGAAAATATTCTAAAATTGACTGTGATGACGGCTGCACATATCTGAATATACTAACAACCACTTAACTGTACACTTAAGTGGGCAAATCACACAGTGTATGAATTACATTTCAATCAAGCTTTTTATAAAAACAAAACAGAAGAGACTAAAGAGGTAGATGGGCCATTTGCAGAGATTTTAAGATGACATCAGATAGCTAACACTGATTACAGGATTTTCATTCCTAAATTTGTAGCTTCCTTTTTCTTACCACTAAGGCTTAGAATTTTAACTCACAAAGAGGGAAAAGATATCTCCTTGTATTAACTGGGTAAGAGTGAGAAAAACAGGTGAGACTCAGTGGAAACAGCACAAGCTGAGAGGAGGGAGCGAAGGGCCAAGAGAGGGAAAAGTCAAGGAGGGAAAAAGCCTCAATGAAGAGGGGCAAGACAGCATGGAAGAGGTGCCCTCTGGAGCGGGAATGCAGAGTTGTATGTTTATGGGCAAAAAAGAATGGACTCAGGTAGAATGAACAAAAGCTATTTCATCTTTCACTCTAAGACCAAACAATGAAAGAAAAATACTGGTGAGGCAGTTCCCAGTGGTGGCCAGCAGGGGGTATCGTGAATCCAGGATGGTCTAGCTGCTGTCCAATTTGAGAAAAGGGGTACATGGTTTGGGAAATAATTTGCAAACTGACTTTTTAACTCCATGTGGAACATTTGCAAATTCATGTTTCTAGGCTAACCTAAAGATTCCTTTTTACCAAAATATAATTTATAAAAGGTCTCCTTAGCAATTACGTATTACCTATATTTAAAATAAGTTAGAAGGGTTTTCTGTTTTTTTCTAGATGCATTGTTAGAGTACTGTAGTAACAACACCTTAGATTCATACAATAATTCTTGACACCACCACTAAAATCATGGTCACTTTCATCTTTAATGTTTATGTACCCAGGACAGTGTTAAATAATCCAAAAGACAAAAAAGAGGAAAGTAGTCACTCAATCCTTTAGCAGGAGTTTAAAACCTTAGTAGGGAGATGAGGGGGGTCCATGAGGTAACATTTACACTATTTGATAAGTGACTTGGAAATCCAGGGAAAGACGAAGAGATCACTATTATGCTAAGGTTAGTCTGGCAAGGCCTCTTAAAGAGTCAGTCTTAAAAACTTTTCTAACTTTGGGGCACCTGGGTGCCTCAGTCAGTTAAGTGTCTGCCTTCAGCTCAGGTCCTCATCTCAGGGTCCTGGGATCGAGCCCCCCATCAGGCTCTCTGCTCAGTGGGGAGCCTGCTTCTCCCTCTCCTTCTGCCCCTTCCCTCCTGCTTGTGCTCTCTCTCTTCTCTGTGTCAAATAAATAAAATCTTAAAAAAATTTTTTTTCTAACTTTAAGTGTACAAAAGCCAAGGACCATTGTAGGCAGAGGGAACCACCAGAGCAATGTCAGAAAGAAATGTATAAAACATGTGATATAAACCATAAAAGAGCTGATTCAGTTAGGGAATGGAAAGAGAGTTAGAAAAATAAAATGACATCTGTGGAAACCTTTGCCTCTAAAAAAATCAGAAGTATCCCATTAATAAGTCTATTACAGTTTTATAAAATAAGGAAATAACAATAAAAGTTTGTCTTTTAAAAAGCTTTAAAAGTTTCATTTATTCATTCAATAAATATTTACTGAACAGCTAATATATGGTACACAGTAGTTACTGAGATTACTCTGTTCCTGCTCTAATGAAGCTTTTCTTTGTCTAGTAGGGAAGACAGACACAAAGAGAGGGTTTGAGGTTTCTACAAGAAATAAAAAATGAAAAGTGTTATTCTATTTAATATAATCAAGTAACATAAAATTATATGCTACAAAGAGTATTACAGAGAAACTGACCAAATCCAGAAGATTCGAATAAAATTCTCTGAGGAAGCAAAATCTGCACTGAACTCTAATGAATGAACAGACGTTAACAGGCAAAGATGTGGGAGAGAAATGGTTCAGTGGGTAGAGGAATGACATGTACCAGGACCTTGAGCTGAAAAGGAGGCTCTTTTGAGGAAAAATGTACAGTGCGGCTGGAGGAAAACAAGCAAGGAGGGAAGAAGAGGACAAAAGAAGTCTGAGGCGAGGCTGGAGAGGTAGTCAAGAGCCAGTGCATGCTCAGTCTTATAGTCCTCATTAAAAACTTTGGCCTTCATCCTGAAAGAAAAGGAAAGCCACTGAGGGGTTATAGCAGAATCAGCCAACTATGGGAAAGATAGGAGGGACTACAAAGACACAGATCAAGTAAACTTTCATCCAAGTTAAACCAGGTCTCTGAAGAGAGTCAACTGGAGACTTTCAGTTTAGAGCAAACTTAACAGTTGAGATACAGATCTCTAATATTCATCTGGCATAGACTGGGCATTGTATTTTAAGAATAGAACACCTGCGCTCATTAAGAAGAAGGGAAACTGCTTACCTTTGGACTGCTGGCCTGAGGAAAAAAGATTCAAGTATAATTTGATAGCATTTTCCGGGGATTTTTATTTTTTAAAAACCAAGTATGAATTTGTCACTTACAAATATGGTATATAAATTAATCATGAAGATACCCTATTTTGCATTAAAAGGGGCTTTTAAGTCTCTAAAACTGATTAAATTCTTAATTTAAACCTATTTTAATTGTGATTAGTATCTGAAAAACCAATGAAAGTTAACAGAAGCCAGGAAATATTTAAACATTACATTTAGAGAAAATTAATTTATTGAAACTGATTGAAATAACTGGACTATATTATACTATAGGCTATCATACTAACTGTATCTTGGTGCTTTGGTGAAGAGGGAGAAGATTCATTTTCAGGAAAGCAGGGTTTTGAGGCAGTTGGAGATTCCTACAAGAAATAAGTAATGAAAAATGTTACTCTATTTTATATCATTACATTTCTCCCTTTATTCACGGTGGGAGAGCTTAATAAGGGAAGCTCAAAAAATCTTTTCCTAGTTATTTCCTTTCTACATTCAGCTCTGAAACTAATATGACACTGATTTGCAAACTATAGTTGTCTGGAAGTTTATGAAATATGGCATATTTTATGCTGATTATAGTTTAAATACTGCATACAGAATTAATAAAAAGAAATGATGCATGTTGCCTTAAAACCATGATGTTTTATCAGCCTGAACTGACCACATTTAAAATAGGTAAAATCTAAACACTTAGGGATAAAAATATAAGTCACCATACGAACTGGCTCCTGTTGCAGTCGGTATGAATACCCAGGACTAGGCAAGCCAATAGTCACAGGAATGATGTGGCAACTGCCAGAATGAGAACTTCATTTAAATCAATGGCTATGTAAGACATTTAATTAAATTGCATTAATATTTAAAGTAATTTACAGATAACTTTCCAATTATTAGAAAAAAAGCGAGATTTTTTTAAATGCAAAGAAACTTTAAAGATTAATAACTCACCAGAAAAAAAAAATGTTTTAATGTTTAAGCCTACAAAAATATATAATAGGAGCAAATCAATAATGTGTATTTTAAAAGCAATTCTGCTTTGTCAATATTAAAACACACTATGTGATTTCTAACACAGATGTTTGTAAGACTCTTCATAGAGGACAAGACTGAAAATACACATTTTTGGTACCAACAGCCAAGCCCCATTTAAATCTTTTCCATTATCCTAAATGTTTTGAATAATCTCAGGAAAAGAAAATCAGAAAAATCATATGCCAACACCGATTATTAATTCTCTTATAAACCAAATAATGTCTTTACAAATTCATCTCCACATCTCTATCAATCTACTTTACCATGCTTATGAAACTGGACGAGGTACTGTTAACAAATCTGGGTATTCGTATGAAATCACAATACACAAACCATTAACACCATATCCATTCACTTGGAAAAAAGTCTTCAGGTTTATACCATATAAAATTTGTAAACACAAAAGCTAGATAGCAGTGAAAGCAAGGAAATCCTTGAAGGGACAACCTTACAAATCAAACATCCAAGGCCTATACTACTAGTGAAGGAAACATTAAAATCATATCAAATTATACCTTTACAAAAAAAATTATACATAATATCCGAATCCAGTATAGCCTCATTTAAGTATTTTTTTTCTGACCACTTCAGATGTTTCACTTTTTGATTTCTTGACTTCTAGGAGTGTCTAATACTAAAAGCTTGGAAAAAAGATGAAAGAAAGATCTGATGACCCACAAAGTAGAAAATAAGTGAATGGTAATCACAATTTATTTTTCATGGGATTATCAGTCCTATAGAAATAAAAACCACAGCAAATGGAGGAAAAATGTAAGTACAACAATTATAATTCCTATAACAAGGACTTCCCACATATATTCATGTATATTTATAAATTTATGTGCATATCTAAATGTATCTTAAATGCCTACAACTAGCAGATTTTAGTAAAAACCATACATAGGCAGAAACAGATGCACCCACACATATACACACACACAGACATACACATCTACCTCCTCCAGTGTTGTCTGACAACTGAATTAGGACTTACATCATCAGAACAATATTTGCTACATAGTATTGGGTTTCTTTATTACATTTCAAGTTACACACCCTTTAACCCTCATCAGACATTGGTCAGCTAGTTTATTCAGGTACAGTCCCTCTTTCATAACCTCAAATCTTTTTTTTTTTTTTTAAGATTTTATTTATTTATTTGACAGAGAGAGACACAGTGAGAGAGGGAACACAAGCAGGGAGAGTGGGAGAGGGAGAAGCAGGCTCCCCGCCGAGCAGGGAGCCCAATGCGGGGCTCAATCCCAGGACCCTGGGATCATGACCTGAGTCAAACGCAGACGCTTAACAACTGAGCCACCCAGGCACCCCATAACCTCAAATCAAAACATATATAGTAGGTGGTGATAATAAACAGAAAAGTTTACTTTATCTAGGATTCCATTTATAAAGGTTAAGGTGCAGGTAAAAAACAAAACATTTCCATCAAAAATAAGTCAGGGCGCCTGGGTGGCTCAGTTGGTTAAGCGACTGCCTTGGGCTCAGGTCATGATCCTGGAGTCCCTGGATCGAGTCCTGCATCGGGCTCCCTGCTCGGCAGGGAGTCTGCTTCTCCCTCTGACCCTCCCCCCTCTCATGTGCTCTCTCTCATTCTCTCTCTCAAATAAATAAATAAAGTCTTCAAAAAAAAAAAAAGTCAATCTCTGGTCTTAAGAAAATCATGCTCTCACAACTCTGAAACACTCAGATTATAAAAAGAAATGTCATGAGAACTTCAGGCAAGTTATTCTAATAACAGACTGAAAATAAATCTCAAAAAAGATTTTAAAAGAGTAAGAAATTATAAGTCTACATCAGCAAAATAATCATCCCTTTTGTTTTAAAACGAAGAGGAAGTGGAGTTGGTTCAACAATGGCTTTTGCATTAGAGCATTATATATGACAACATTTACAAGCCTTCTGTGTACACTCAATTGTAATCTGGTTCCTGGAGTTAAATGAATTTTCCATTCAAATCTCTAGGAATCTTAGCTACTCATGTTATTCTCAATGCTAAATATTTTCAAGTATTCTTCAATAGCAGATTCCAGATTTCCTTTGATATGCCCTCTACAGTCAAATCACATATTATCCTTACAAAATATAAATTACAAACTGGTCTACTACTTTCATTGTTGTTCCATTAGTCTATCTTATACACAATGTATATAGACCTTTTCTACAGCTGCACAAAAAGTCTTCCATTTAATTTCATGAAAACCAACATTACAGTCACTAAAAAACAAACTTGTTTGGACTGAGATAATTTATAAAGGAATTTACAAGTGAAAGTACCCAAACATAGAGAAATATGCCTTAAGAAAGTTCATTCTGTTTCCACTAACACACCTGAAAATGTAAGAAACCTGTTAATTATGCCAAAAGAGAAGTCTGATGGTAAAACAAAAAGAGAGTCCCCAGTGACAAATATCTTTTTAAAATAAGGTTTTTAGAAGGGGGGTGGGAGGATGGGTTAGCCTGGTGATGGGTATTAAAGAGGGCACGTTCTGCATGGAGCACTGGGTGTTATATGCAAACAATGAATCACGGAACACTAAAAGCTAATGATGTAATGTATGGTGATTAACATAATATAAAAAATAATAATAATAATGTTTTTAGAGTGTTACCACCACCCTCACATTTTTACATTAGTATGGCTAATGTTCTACAAATTCATACGCATTTCCTACTCCATCCCCAAAATGAAGCTACAACATAAAAAGTCACATGGAAGGTAAAAACTTTATGGGCTTTCCATTCTGATGCTTGCATCAAACTTTATCCCTTATTTGAAACAGAGAACATTACTTCTCAGATTAATAAAAGAAGTCCTTTGTGCAGAGAACAATTAGGGAAACAGAAGAGTGGGATTCCAATTCTCCCACAGGATGAAGAAATTAATTAAATGTCTTCACTAGTAAAACCTCCCAGAGACTGAAGACAAACAATAACAGATATATGACTGGGTTTTGCTAACAGGGTTATCAAAAATATCTACCACCTCCTAGGCTCAAATATACACATTATTAAGCCACAGATGAGTCAGTCCACTGTGCAAAAATCGATAAACTACAAAACCAAAACCCATTCCAGGACAAATTGACGCTATACACAATAAAACAATAGTTACCAAAGTATGAGATGCAGCTAAGGAAAATAAAGAATAAAAAGAACATTCAATATTCTCAACAGATTTTCTCAAGAAGTTTCTACCTTGTCATTGGTGTCCAACACAATGGTGCTATGTCTCCACTTTGTTAATACAATTGGTTCTTGCAGCCGCCTGTCCAGGCTCCTACTTTTAATTATTTCTCTTTGCTGCTGGGATGAAGCATTATACTAAAAAAACAAACAACAACAAAAAAACCTCATAAATAACAGAAACAAAAGTGGAATCTAAAACATGACATTTGATGTTCAGCAAAGTTCATCACAGGAATTTTTCTGGCCTGTTTTCTCATCCTTGACCACGTTGTGGCCCAACTGAGATGATCAAAGATTTCGGTATTGGAGAGACCAAGTTACCGTTACTTTGGGAAAATATTTAGTCTCCCTATGTCTCAGTTTCATCAACTGTAAAACAGACATAACAGAAATATCATCTCATTCACAGACGTGTTATAAAAATTAAGCAGTATAAAAAAAGCCAAATATTGCCCTAATAGTGGGTTCCCAATAAAATATTAGTTATCATAATTTATAAAATGAGGTCATTGAACAAACTATTTTTTTAAGGTTCCTTCTACCTTGAAAATCCACGAGTCCAATTTTTGGTTTAGGTTTTAAAAATGATGATTACTATATACAACAATATCCCCACATTTAAAGGGTTGTTTGTTTTTGCTTTCATTTATAGGCCAAACATACTATTATTTGTTTCTCTGAAGTTGTAAAACATAACCAGGTCAGAAGGCAGAGACAGTTCTAGTTTGAAAGACCAATCCTGAATATATCAGTTGTGTACAAAGATTAGATAATAATTGCCCCCCCCATAACATCTAAAATTAAGAACACATTATCAATAATTAAATCATGTGTTTGAAATGTCAAGTAGATTGATCACCAAGCATAAACATTTCAGAAATGTGAGGTTTAAGAGGTATGCTGTTTTATACAGCCAATTTTAATAAATTATAAATAATTAAATGACAAAAGAAAATTAAAGGCTATATTCTTCTCCTGAAAGCAAAGGATACCTAATACCTATCTACTTCTCCCACCCCTAAAAAGCCCAGTAAATCTTAAAATTTTAATGATTCATTAGAATTTCAGTAAAACTGTTAAGAATGTTTTTAATATTAAAAAAAATCTTCCAACATCTTTCTCCACACTATGCCATTTCTTTACTCCCCAAAATTAGGCTACACACACCCCCCAAACTATCTCCCAAATCTGTTACTTCATTCTTCACATTAAAATTTGCCAAAGCAAGGCAATCACATATGGCATTTGCTTTTAAATTACCGCTGCTTAACAAACAGCAATCTTAAAATTCATCACAGAAGTTCACAAAGGGATCATTTCTAGGGTGAACAAAGATGAAACTTAAAGGCTACCCCTCAAAAAATTCTATGCCAGAAAGTTCTTAGTGAAGAGAGACCTAAACAGAGCTGTATTTTCAATAGAATCATCATTAGCAATAATTAAAATGTATAGTTGTGTAAACGCATGTGTATGAACTTTAACAGATACAACTACCTTAGCTTATGAGCTTTGTAATTAGTACAGTTGTTTAGAAATCCTTTCTATGTGGAAACAAAAATAATGTGAAACTAAACTGGGCAATAATCACAATGATAAATGTGCTGGTGGTTTTACCAGGCAGCAGTATGTTCACAAAAACAAAGTATAAATAAAATGTCAGATATAAAATATAGTCTAGTTAACAAGATGGCTAAGTTTAAAACTTTTCCCCCCAAAAAACCAAACTTTTCTAATTCCTTTAAAAATACCATTTTTTAAGAATTTTAGATGAATTTTTATTTGAATTATTTCAAACATATACAAAAGAATAAAGACTATAATGAAAACCCACCAACGAGTGTTAGCGTATCTAATATAAAACAATTGCTTTAGGTACCTTAAAAAAAAAAAAGAAAATATAGACCTATTAGATGCCCTCTGAATATATCTTCCAGATTCCAATCCTCTCCCTCTTTTCCCCAGTAGCACCACAGAACTCAGTGGTCAACACTGTCATCACACTTTAATATATACTTATTTATCTATAAATACACATACTTGTAGAGTTTTAAAATTTATATAAATGGAGTCCTACCATATGCATCATTCTTCAATTTGCTTTTTGCATTCAATATGTTATTTTACAAAACATATCCATGCTGATGAGTACGCAGTTCTAACTTATATTTTCACTGCTATATACATTACATTGTATGTAGATACAATCTAACCGTTTTGCTATAAATGGACATGTCTAAAGCAGTAATACTAATTTACACTTCTACCAGCAGAACAGATTGGTTTGCACAACCTTATTTGGTACTACTGAATTTATATGCATTGGTGTATATAAAATAAAGGTTAAGTACACATACACATTAAAAAAATGTGAGAAGTGAAATGTTAGCTTGTTTTAATTTACATTTTCTGATTACCTGTAAATTTGGACACCTTTTCACATATTTATTTCATGTATTTCCTCTTCTGGTATTGCTTAGTCATGTATTTTGCCCAATTTCAACTGGGCTTTTTTTTACTCTTACAGAAAAGAAAGGACCAGGAAGTTCTTGATGTATTTTGGCTTCAAAGCATTTTTGTAAGCTACATGAGTTGAATATACCTTCTCCTAGTCTATAGCTCAGCTTTTTCCCTTTGTGTATGGTACTTTTTATATTAGAAAGTATTTTTGTTTAATTTGATGTAATCACATCTGTCAATCTTTCCTTTTATAGTTTTTCCTTATTATAGTTTTAAGAAATCCTTCCCACTCTGAAGTCAAAGATATTTTTTATATATCCTTCTGTAGCCTTTAGAATTTGCTTATTACATTTACATCTCTGATCTACCTGGAATTAATCATTAAGTGTGAAGTGAGGTCAAGATCTACACGTCGGGGGCGCCTGGGTGGCTCAGTCATTAAGCGTCTGCCTTCGGCTCAGGTCATGAACTTCAGGTCCTGGGATCGAGCCCCACATCCAGCTCCTTGTTCAGCTGGGAGCCTGCTTCTCCCTCTCCCACTCCCCCTGCTTGTGTTCCCCTCTCTAGCTGTCTGTCAAATAAATAAAACCTTTTAAAAAAGGGATCTACACTTCATTTTTCACGTGAATAACCAATAATCTTAGCAACATTTATTGCAGACTCCATGCTTAATCCACTGATTTGTGATGTTACATGTAAGCTTTCTATTCTGGTTTATTTCTAAACTGGTCTATTTCTCTATATGTGTGCTCTTACTATCCCATCTTAATCACCATAACAAGCAGCCCATCCCTCACATGCCCCACCCATTTTCAGGAATACTTTGGGTTCTTTATAGACCTTTGTTTGTAAATAAAATTTAGCATCAGTTCCCAAAAAGGTGGAGAGGGAGAAAGTAAATGGAAATACAGTGAACTTATAAATTAATGTGGACACTGCTATAACACTGAGCCTCCCAATCCAAAATCATAATGGTATTGCACCATTCATTCAGGTTTTACGTCCTTCAATTCAGCTCTGAAATTTTCTTAAGATCTTGCAAACCAGAGCACCTGGGTGGCTCAGTCGGTTAAGTGTCTGCCTTCGGTTCAGGTCATAATCTCAGTGTCCTGGGATCAATCCCCACATCAGGCTCCTTGCTCAGCGGGGAGTCTGCTTCTCTCTCCTTCTGCCCCTCCCCCACTCATGCTTGCACACAAGCTCTCTCTCTTGCTAATAAATAAAATCTTTAAAAAAAAAGATCTTACAAACCTTTAATAGGCATATTCTTAGTTACAACTCTTCCTACTGCTACTGCTGGTAATGAAATTTGTCACATCTCAAGCCTGATTTACTAGAGAGATGGGTAGTGTTTTTTTTTTTTTTAACATTTTATTTATTTATTCTCTAGAGAGAGAGAGAAAAAGAGAGAGAGCACAAAGCCAAGGGGAGAGGCAGAGGGAGACAAGACTCCCTGCTGAGCTGTGAGCCTGACACAGGGCTCGATTCCAGGACCTCGGGATCATGACCTGAGCTGAAGGGAGACACTTAACTGACTGAGCCACCCACGCACCCCAAGAGATGGGTAGTTTTTATGTTGATTTTATATCCAGCAACTCAACAGCTTTGAGTTTGTAAATTCTCTTGATTTTTCTAATAATCAAAACAACTGTATCTCTTCTCAATTTTTACTTTATTGTTGAATAGAAGCAGTGATTTTAAAAAGTTCAAATCTAGTTCCTAATTCTAATGAGAAAGCTTCTGTAACTTCACAATTAAGTATGAAATTTACTGTAGATTATTTGACAAATAACCTTTAGCATGATGTAATATAGCACTACATCTGAAATGATTTTCTTGTAGAAGCAAATAGTGGGTCATGGTTTTTTATCATTTCTGAAAAATTTTTAACAGGTGTGTTTAGACATTTAATGTAATTATATACATTAGGATTCAAGTCTGCCATTCTACTTTCTATCCTGTTATTCATTTGAGTTTCTCCTTTCCCGCCTTCCTGTGGGCTACTTGAAAAGCTTTTACTATTACATTTTAATTCATCTATAGTTTCTTGAGTCTATATTTTGTTAGTTTTTTAGTGCTTGTTCTAGGGATTACAATTCACATGCTTAATTTATCACAGTCTAACAGTATAAACCTTTCATGATTTCAGATGAAATGCAGAAATCTTACCAACGACTACATCACTTCACTCTCCCCTCTTTATGGTGTAAGTATCATCTCTACCTACAATGAGTACTTCAGACATGTTTCAATTTTTGTTTTGAATGTCAACCATAATTTTTAAAACTCAAGACAAGTCTCCTCAGATATTCACCCTTTCCATTGTACTTTCTTCATTCCTGATGTTTCAGGTTTTCTTCAGTTATCATTTCCCTTCTGTGTGAAGGGCTTCCTACAGCAATTGTCTGAGAACATGATGCTGGTAATAAACCTCTTAGTTTACTTTCATTTGAAAATGTCTTTATTTTACTTTCATTCCTGAAGGGCATTTTTGTTGGATGTACAATTATGGGTTTACAGTTTTTTCTTTCAGCATCTGAAAAATGTTATACACTTCCTTCCGGCTTCATGATTTCTGATAAGACATCCACTGCCCTTCAAATCATTATTACCCTATAGGTACTGTGTTGTTTCATCAAGCTGCTTTCAAGATTATTTTAGGGGGGAAGAAGAGGGGG